CCGACTGGCTGGAGTCTCTGCCATCTTTTATCTCCTATCTTTTGGAAATAGTGGGAAGAAAGGTCAACCAGATGGTTTCGCATTTCAGGAATAGTTTTTGGTTTATCAAAGAACATGCCTGTGTCATTGATTGTGGTGAATGGGAAGAAAGTCTGCAATGGAAAGAGAGAAGCAAGGATCAAGGTTTTTATTTCAGTCCTAAACAAAGCAAAGCAGAAAAGCTATTTGTTGCAACTTATTCTTTGTCTTTCATTAGAACTTATTAGATTTTACCCTGGCTATTTTGGGGAAATAGTGGAAATGAAGTGGAAGAAAAACTTTTAAAACAAATACAATAAATGAATAGGATACATTGCTATGTCAATGAATAACTGATTATTTGTCTGTATTTTTTTAGCTATTCATTTAATTTTATTTGTTTTTTTTTTTAGTTAGTGAATTTAGGATAATAGAGCTTCTCTGTTTTAAAACAAAAGGTTTTTCTAGAGTTTTGCAATAAAATAAAAAATACAATGAGTCTGCTGTCAAAAGTGTCTACAAGATAATCACAGCTTTTATTTTGGGTAGAAAAATCTGAATGTTGGCCTAGGAAAATGTCATTAAAAGATGCTCTTTGCAGGTCTTCCTTCAGTTATTAAAATGTTTTTGCATATACAGCAGTACACCTCCCCTTCATCAACAGGGGATATGTTCCAAGATATCCAGTAGAAGCCAGAATAAACAGATAATACCAGACATTTTTTTTCCTCTACATACCTTAGGATAAAACTTAATTAAGTTAGGTTCAACATGAGATTATGTACAATAACTAATGACAGAAAATTTTAACACAATACTGTAATAAAAGTTATATGGCAGCTAAAAGTTTCATTCTTACCATAGATCTCATTAAACAAAAGAAGAGATTAACAATAACAAATAATAAAATAGAACAATTATAAAAATAACTGTCTATATTTCTGAGATGAGGTATTATAACTATTATTTAATAATATAAATAATACAAAAATTACATTCAAGAAAGGTAGAATTACAAAAACACCCTTAATAGATTTAGATTTTGTTACAAAGATTAGGGAACTGGAGCATGATGAAGCTTATAAGTACCTAGGAATTAGTGAAGGAGATGGCATACAACACCCCCAAATGAAGAAAAAAATAAGAAAAGATACTACAGGCATGTACGTCTGGTACTAAATACTGAGCTAAACTTAAAAAACAGTATATCAGTGATAAACACATTGGCTGTCCATGTAGTGCAATACAGCTTTAATGTCCTTAACTGGACCATAGCTGAAATTAAGTGAATGGACGCCGAAACGAGAAAGCTTCTCACTTGCTACCGCATACATCATCCCAAAGCTGATGTTGGTCGTCTGTATGTGCCCAGATCCAAAGGAAGCCGAGGATTAGTTCAACTAGTACTGTCCTACAAAACTACAACAATTGGCCTCCAAAGATACTTGGAAACTACAGAAGACTGGATGATGGTATGCGTCAAGGAACATGAAAATAGTAAGTGTCTTTACTCCATAATAAAAGAAGCCAACAAATTCAAAATGGAGTTTCAATTGGGCGTAGAGATGTAAGTACAGCACAATACACCGGCTGAAACTGCAAAATACTTTAAAATGACAGCAAAGACGAATACAACCGACCAGATACAGAAGCGATGGCAAGATAAACCGCTTCATGGCCAATACTCTGCCTGTACCAAACAAGCTGATGTAGACAAAACCAGTACCCATCAGTGGCTACGTAGTGCAGGGTTGAAAGCTGAAACTGAAGGTTTTATCCTTGCTGCATATGACCAATGCTTGCTAACTAGGAATTATCAAGCACATATACTAAAATATTGTGTCAGCCCAAAATGCAGATTCTGTGATAAATATCCAGAAACGATTGATCATCTTGTATCAGGTTGCACAATATTGGCACCCACTGAATATAAAACCCGGCATGACAGAGTGGGCCAATATCTGCACTGAAAAATCTGCAACTTCTACAGGAAGGAAACTGAAAGAAAATGGTATGAACACCACCCAGACCCGGTTACAGAGATAGGATCTGTTACAATTCTATGGGACTACACAATACACACTGACAGAACAATCAAAGCCAACCGCCAAGTTATTGTTATTAAAGACCACAAACAAAAAAAGTGCCTCCTCATTCATATGGCAGTCCCTGCTGACTGCAATGTATCTTTGAAGATATTCAAAAAGCTGTTAAAATACAAGGACCTTGAAATAGAAATCTCGAAAATGTGGCATATGGGAACATCAACAATCCCTGTTGTAGTTGGAGCCCTAGGACTGGTTGGAAAAGATTGCAGTAGACTAATTGAAGGGATTCCTGGAAGTCCATGCCTCAAGGAGATACAAAAAATTGTTCTGACAAGTACAGCCCACACTTTACGAAGGGCTTTATCTATGTAATTTTTAATTTTTTTTTTTTTTGTCAGTGGAAAGTGTCATGACGCCATTTTTTAACCTTAGGTCCTAAAGGGACCCAAAAAGAAATGTGTAAATGCCAGAAATCAAAGAAAATAAAAATAATAATAAAATAAATAAATAAATAATAATAATAATAAGAAAATAAATAATAATAAAATAGGACTGTCATAACAAGAAACTATAGTAAAAGTTAGGTGACAGAAGTTTCATTATTAATGCAGGTCTTATTAGGCATGATAAGTGATTAAAATAAAAGAACTAATAATAAAATAGAACAATTCTAATAATAATAATATATTTAATAAAAGTTATATAACTGATATAAGATTTGTTTTTATTGTAGATCCTGTGAAACACAATAACAGATAAGCTACAATAAAATAGAATGATTATAACAATATACTTTGGATAGAAAATTCATTTTTAGCATTGTAACTGCAATATAAAAGACTTTTTTTCCTTGTTAAGTCAGGAACTTTCACCTTTTTACCTCAAGAAATCACTTTACGGAATCTCTTTGGTGTATTTGAATTTCCATCACCACCTCTCTACTTTCAGACCATTATTAAATAAGACATTTTTTTTATTTCTAGGGTTGATCTTCAGTAAATGAAGCTATCTTGGATAAGGTGCAAGATGACTGCTCATAATCTTGTTTATAGGTTGATCCTTGGTTTGGTGCCAAGAAATCAACATTTTATGATATGCCTCATGCATAAGTCAAACATCAGTTTTTGAGGGTCAAGACACAACCAATCAGACTAACAAATCACCAAATATTTACCTACTTTGGACTTGCTACAAGAAAGTCTGAATTGGAAACAGTGCCAACACTCAACAGCTGGTGATGAATCATGTGAACAATAACACGAGGCTGATTCAGATAATAATATTAAATGCAAAATATGAAAATGTATATGTATACTCCAAAGATGTATGTCTATTGTGCTACCTGATACCCAACACTGTAATGTATTTAGTTTGATCAAAGAGGGTCACGGTTAGTGTGATCAAAGAAATGTGAGACACATGACATTATTAAATTAAAGGAAGACATGTGACGACATAAACACATATTGATCTGACCTTGACCGTTGAATGCATACATAAAATGATGAGTGAATGTCATCAAGAAGAACAAGTATTTTGTGCAGTGAATCCATGCAATGTTCTTCTTATCAAGCAGCCAGTGCTTTCATACAGTGAAGAAGAGGTGGTGACACAAATCACATTGTAGAAAATAGTTCAAGAATTATATAGAGGAAGACTGTTTGGCAAAAATGGAATTTATATATATATATATATATATATATATATATATATATATATATATGTGGAGATATATAGAAAATAGGAAGGAACTGGTTAGGTAAATAGTCCAAAGTTCCTTAGTATTTTAGTTATTATTTTTAAAAAATAATGCTTGATACAAAAGTAGAGCATAAATATAATTATTTACCAAAAAATATGATTCCAAATCGCTACATAAGAATCTCATGTTTCAAAACAAAACGAAAACTTCAACATAATCCTTTAAATTAAAGGATTATATTGAAGTTTTCGCGTTGTTTTGAAACATGAGACCTTTATGTAGCAATGATGAATCATATGATTTTAAATAAATAATATATATATATATATGTGTGTGTGTGTGTGTGTGTGTGTATGTATAATTTTTTAAGGAAAATAGGTTTATGAAGTCCAGTAGCTGTTATCAGTCTTTCCAGTATTGATGTAAGTTTCCTTCCCAGCCTTTTATTTGAAGTTGTTATTATATATATATATATATATATACACACACACACACACAAACACTGATTGATTTGTTTTTACATCTTATCAACTTTTTTCTCATGTTTTTGTGCCTTATATCTGCTTATGGAACTGTAATGATTGGAATCAACACAGATAAATGTTGGTGAGTGAACGATAACTGGTGTTTTTGACTTGATTTGTCTGTAAACTTATACACACATTCTAAAAGAGGGCTCAATACATTGTAGAACAATATTATTTATGTAAAAATCAGTACACAATTGCAGTTGTACTTGAATGCATAACGATGCATCTCCTCAGGTGATTGTAAATTACTGTTGAGTGAATGATTAATTTGGTTCCAAAAGCAAAATACATCCTCATTTTTTTTTAAAAAAAATGAAGAAGGCTTGAGGGCTTTACCCTGATCTACCAATCAAATATGACCTATGTTAAATTCAAACTAACTGAAAATGAAAAAAATTAGAAATTATTATCTTAGAAATGTGTGATAGCCAAGATTTGACATCTATCAGCAACCAGAAATTAACTTAATGACTGATACAAATACTTACAATAAATGTACACATGATAGACAGTCAACTATCATAAGAAATAAAAGCAGGGGGTTAGAGAGGTAATTTAATCGAATGCCCAACTATAAGGTTTGTGGATTTCCTACATGAAAATAATTTTTTTTGTAGTTGATAAATAAGAGGCCTCTTTAAGAAACTAGTAAATAATCTAAACATATAGAATTATTTGGTAAATAATATGCAACCGCTAAATAAATATCCTTCATGTAAGATGTTAATAATATCAACCAATCAATGTAAAACATCAAATACTAACTAAATACCAATACATCTGTATAAGATGTTAATAATACTACCAGGAGATCAATATAGAACTAAATTAAACCCAAACTAATCATACATATAAAAAGATAAGCCATATATGGTGCAACCCAGTTCAACTGAAATCTAA